TTCCTTCCTTCCTTCCTTCCTTCCTTCCTTCCTTCCTTCCTTCCTTCTTCCCTCCCTCCTTTCTCAGTGCTTACTTAAATACACTGTGGGCTATTTAAGTTCCAGCAGGGGGGCACATTGCCCTGCTGATATTCCGACGGACAGAACATTTGAAAACATCCCCGCCTGATCTCCAACTCCAGAGGAAGAAAAACAGCCATTTCAGCAGAATTCCAAGTTGAGTTAAAATAACGATTGGTGTTCCCCCCGTTAATCCAGTGCTGATTTGGTGTTTTGTTTTTTGGGGGGTGGGGTGGGGTGGGGGGAAATAGGGAAAAAAACCCAGATCTTTCTTCCTCCAATGAAAGATCCTTCAACTCACAAAAGCAAGCAGGGATTGCTCTGGAACTTAATTTTATAGAGAGAGAAAAGAGAGAGATGCACACACACTTTACTTATTTATTAAATTTATATGCGTATAAATTTCAATAAATACAGCAGCAAAAAAGCCAAGGCAATCCTAAATGGCATTAACAAAGGGATACGGTCAAGAAAAAGAGAGGTCCCAATCCCACTCTATAAAGCCTTCGTAAGGCCACACCTGGAGTATGGCATCCAATTTTGGTCACCAGGATACAAAAAAGATGCCGAGACTCTGGAAAGAGTGCAGAGAAGCACTGCAAGACGATGAGGGGACTGGAGACTCAAAGATACGACGGACAATTGCAGGATCCGGGCCTGGTTAGTCTAGGGAAGAGAAGGACCAGGGGAGACAGGAGAGCAGCCTTCCAATATCTGAGGGGCTGCCCCAGAGAGGAGGAGGAAGGGGGTCAAGCTATTTTCCAAGGCACCTGAAGGCCAGACAAGGAATAATGGATGGAAACTGAACAAGGAGAGATTTTTCAACCTGGAAATAAGGAGGAATTTTCTGACAGTGAGAACAATCCACCCATGGAACAGAAGTTGCCCTCTGAAGTTGTGGGAGTTTCATCCCTGGAGGCTTTCAAGAAGAGACTGGGCTGCCCTCGGTCAGAAATCGTGTTGCAACTGTGGAAAAAAAAAACAACGGTTCAAAGTCCCTTTCTCTATTGCTGTTGTGACTTTCGAACCGTCCCTAAATGAACTAAAATGTCTGTTGAGGAGGACCAACATTTCCAGGGCTGGGTTTTAGGGCCCTGCGGGGAAACGTCAGCCTTCAGCTCAGGGATGGGACCTGCAGTCCCCAAAGAATGCCAGCCGCGATCTCTCGTTAGGGATCAGACGATTTGCTGGCTCCATTGAATCCTGGCCACGATTCCATTGATTGGTCCTCCTGCATCAGCAAAAAACCTAGCAGGAGAAGTGGATGCTTGGCAACCGGCGGGTGCGAGATGCTTCCACCCCATTGTCAGCCTTGTCACTGGGCAGACAATGTGCTGCGCCAAAGGGCTCTATAAAAGTTGCGTCTCCTCAGCATTTTCGGCCGGGGTGGCGTGCAGCTTCGGCGGCAGCTGAGGTGGGCGACAGGCGCATGGAAGAGCGAGCCGGAGGCATCGGCGGGGAATCGAACACTCGCCAAGGGCGTCTTCCTCGGATCATGGTGGGTCCCTGGACCGACTGTTGAAGGTAAGTGAGAGAGAGAGAGAGTTTCATAGATTAACAGAGGTGGAAGGGACCTTGGAGGTCATCTAGTCCAACTCCCCCCACTCAAGCAGGAGACCCTACACCGTTTCTGACAGATGGCAGTCCAGTCTCTTCTTGAAAGCCTCCAGGGATGAAGCTCCCACCACTTCTGAATAACAGAATAACAACAGAATAACAGAGTTGGAAGGGACCTAGGGGGTCATCTAGTCCAAACGCCCCCCACTGAAGAGCAGTAGACCCTACATCATTTCTGACAGGTGGCAGTCGAGTCTCCTCTTGAAAACCTCCAGGGATGAAGCTCCCACAACTTCCGAGGGCAACTTCTATTCCATTGGTTGATTGTTCTCACAGTCAGAAAGTTTCTCCTTATTTCTGGGTTGAGTCTCTCCTTGCTCAGTTTCCATCCATTGTTCCTTGTCTGGCTTTGGGGGGCTTTAGAAAATAGCTTGACCCCCTTCCTCCTCTCTGTGGCAGCCCCTCAAATATTGGAAGACTGCTATCCTGTCTCCCCTGGTCCTTCTCTTCCCTAGACCAGCCAGGCCCAGTTCCTGCAACTGTTCATCGTATGTTTGAGCCTCCAGTCCCCTCATCATCCTGGTTGCTCTTCTCTGCACTCTTTCCAGAGTCTCAACGTCTTTTTTATATCATGGCGACCAAAACTGGATGCAGGACTCTAGGTGTGGCCTTAGTAAGGCTTACTAATACAGGTGGACAGGTTGAAGTCACACCAAGGTGTCCTCATGTGGCTTGAAGCCACCGTTGTATTATAAACAGCAACACTCTAAGCCAGGGCTCTCCAAACTTGGCAACTTTAAGACTTGTGGACTTCCCAACTCCTGGAATTCTGGGAGTTGTAGTCCACAGGTCTTAAAGTTGCCAAGTTTGGGGAGACCCTTGCTCTCAGCTAAAACCAAGCAAGCCACTTTTAACCATAGATTAGGGATCCCCAAAGCTTTTCCTTCGTTACCCAAAACTGCTGATCAGAATGTCCTCATTTAAATGTCCAGATTGTGATTGGATTTGTATCATTAAACAATCCTACCCCACCACCCACCCACACCCCACCTACTTTTGTCCAATTTTGGATCATTTTACCCAAGTTTGGAAGACACTGGCTTAAAGGGATGTGTGAAACTGTTTTTTTGTTTTTTGAGAACAGAACCCTGGTCTGAATAAAGAAATTTCTTAAGACGGTGAGATGCTCCGAACAGGAACATATCGATAAAAGATAATACTTGTAACTCAATTGTGGGGTCCTTGGGGGTGTTCTTACTTTTAGACCACTGATTCTTGACTTTGATGACTTGAAGATGTGTGGACTTTAACTCCCAGAAGTCTTTGCTGGCTGGGGAATTCTGGGAAATGAAGTCCATCGATCTTCAAGTTGCCCAAATTGAGAAACCCTATTTTAGACGAACGTGCTTTTCAAATGTTAAAAGCTCCTCCAGTAATTAATCCTTTGGCATTAATTAGGTTTCGTGTTTCGTGTGGGTGATTTTTATGGCCACAGCAGGACAGCGGGGCTCAGAAACCCTTCAATTAGACTAGTAGATGAATCCATTGTTTATAATCCGCACCGCAGGTTGAACCATCAACTACCCCGAAAGACTATGGTGGTACATTATGTTAAAGGCTCAAAAGCAGGGATGGGATTGTACCGGTTCGGAACTGGCAAATGGTGCCCCTGGATGGCCCCGCCCCTCTCTATCCATCCCTCCCCTCCCAGTCAGTCCTTATCATGCATGCATATGACATCGCATTCACGCCCAACATCGCTGGCTATGTTGTCCCCTGCCCAGTCACTCCTTAAGATATTTTGCCCCCTCCTGAAGATCAGCTTTTTTTGATGTTCAGCTGTTCTGTATCCCTCTCGCTGTTTTACTGCTTCACCCAAGAGGCTCCCCAGAGGCCAAGTAGGCAAAAAGGTGTGTGTGTGTGTGTGTGTGTGTGTGAGGCAGGAGGGTGCTGTGCTCCCCCAGGCTCCGTTTTGTGCCTTCCTGGGCCCCAGGGACGTTTTCTGGCAGCAAAACTGCCCCCCCAGGAGGCACCCCTGAGGCCCAAGAGGCCCCCCCCCAAAAGAAGAAGAAACCACGCCCACCCAGTCACATGGCCACGTCCACCTAGCCACGCCCACAGAACAGGTTGTTAAAAAATTTGAATCCCACCCCTGCTCAAAAATCTCACCAAAGTAAACCATCCATAGCGTCTTGTCTGAAAGCAACATTACTGGTAGTCCTTGATTTACAACAGCTTGTTTAGTGGCTGTTCAAAGTTTCAACAGTACTGAAAAAAATGTGAGTTTTGGACTGTTTTACACACTTACTGGTACGACCATTGCAGCATCCCCATAGTCATGGGATCAAAATTCAGATTCTCGGCAACTGGCATGTACTTATGACTGTTGTAGAATCCCTGGGTCACGTGATCCCCTTTTGCGACCTTCTGACAAGCAAAGTTGACAGGATTCACTTAACAACTCTGTGTTAACACCCAGAGGGTTGGGGGGAAAAGCAGGATCAAGGGTGACAGTGAATTACGTATCTCAGAGTTGGCTATCTGTCAGGATTCCGGCAGTTACTCCAATTAAATCATGAGCCTCGAGCCACACTCCCAAAACTAAAAAAGATTTATTTGAAGGTAAGATTCTACATCTGGCTCGTCCAACGAAAAATGTCCATAGCCAAGAGTCACCAATCATGCTCTCCAATTAGATTTTTGCATGCGTGGCAGAAGCTTCAGTCATCTAATCAGTCTTTGAAGAAAATATGAATGGAATGTACTTTCGATTCCACACTGCCGCCTGCTCTTTCTGTTGTCAACTATAAAACATGTATACAAAATGTTTTATGAGTTAACACACTGTTACTAAATTAACCGCAGTGGTTCACTTAACAACAGTGACAAGAAAGGTCTTAAAATAAAGTAAAGCACACTTCGCCCATGTTTCACTTAGCAACAGAAATGTTGGGCTCAATTGTGGTGGTTAAGTCGAGAACCACCTGCACTCTGTTTTTAGAATTGGACCACTGGAGACAATGACGTAACTTGATATTTCTCTCCTTATCTTTGTATTTTTTGCCTGGCAGAGCATCTGTGACTGGGGTCCTGCCTTAATTCGGAAAATAAGAGTTCTCCCAAAGGTGAGGAAAAATGTGATTGTTGATGAGAGTGTGCGAGAATCACTAACAACCATGTAGGGTCTGGTGTTCTTTTTGCAAAATTTGTTCTAGCAAAGAACGAGGGAGGAATTTCTCCCCAGGATCGGTAACCATTTGAATTGTGGACTGGGTGATAGGTAGATTAAAATTATTGTTAATCAGGGTGCTAGTTACTCAAGGGGCTAGAGGAGTATTGGTCAACCTCTGAAACTTTAGAGTAGGTAGACTTCAACTCCCAGAATTTCTTAGTTAGAATTCTCTGCAATTCTGGGTAGTTGAAGAGAACTCTGGGAGTTGGAGTTTATATATCTTACTGAGGTGGAGAAATCTTGAGCTATCTGTCCAGATCAAATGGGGGATTCTGGGAGTTGAAGTCCATCCATTTTAAAGATGCTGAAAACAATTTTGCAGAAAACAATTCGTTCCTTGCAGCAGTGTGAAGATCTCTGTGCATCTCAGAGACTCTGCGCCGAGCCCTTCCTTGTCAGCACTGCATTTGGAAATAGTTACTCGGCAGCTCTCCAGGCTAGATAAGGCCTGTGCTCCTCATCACACCCTTGAAAGACTGTTTGCCAGGCCTTTGGCTGAAGGTGGATGCCATAAATTCACCTTCATTTCATAAAAGCGGTTTGCTTTTTTGCTTAGCGCCCAGGAAGCCTAGGTCAGAACAGGTGGATTCTGGGAGTCGAAGTCTACCCATCCTTAAAGAGACTGAGGTTGAGAAACCACTGAGCTAATTTGCCAGGATGTAAGGGGGGGATTCTGGGAATTGAAGCCCACACACGGAGGACTGGACCGCTCTTGCCTAGCTTTTTCTGAGCAGCAAAACTAAATAGCAAGCGTTGCCCCCACCCATCAAAAGTCAAGAGGAGAAAAAGAAACAAAACGTAGAATTAGAATTATTTATGGTCCAAGTGTGATTGGACACACAAGGAATTTGTCTTTGGTGCAAATGCTCTCAGTGGACCTAAAAGAAAAGAGACATTCGTCAAGAATCATCAGGTACAACACTTAATGATAGTCATAGGGTACAATAAGCAATCAAATCATACGAGGAAACAGTTTAAAGAATGGAATGGAATGGAATGGAATGGAATGGAATAGAATAGAATAGAATAGAATAGAATAGAATAGAATAGAATAGA